AATTCTTCTGACTGCATGTGGACCCACAGCACTTTCGGTTATTAGAAGCCTAATGTTCCCTGAGGCACCAGATAGTAAAACCTTTCAAGAGTTGACAGATTTAGTTAAGGAATATTATGACCCCAAGCCTCCTGTAATTCCTGCAATGCTATCGGTTTTATTCGGCAGTACAAGAACCAGGGGAATCTATATAGGGATTTTTGATGCAGTTAAGACAATTGACTGAGGCATGTGATTTTGGGTTAACCCTGAATGAAATGCTGACAGACCATTGGGTATGTGGGATTAATGACATAACCATGCAAAAAAGCCTACTACCTGAAACCCAACTGGACCTAAAACAGGTGCTACAAGTGGCTTTGTCATCAGAAAATGCAGCAAGTGGACCATGTGAGCTATAGGGTATCCCTTTGGAAGTGGGCACCTTCAACTGTCCTACTGAGCTTGGAGTACACCACTTGAGTGTATGCAATCACATAATCTCACAAAGGATACATTCTGAGCAGAGGGACCCTAGGTCAGCCCACAGCAAAATCCCAAAACAAAGCTGAGCCTCAGCAAAAAGCTAAAATGTTCTTCAGGATCTGGACCGGCAAGCAATTGTAGTTGCTGCTGGTATGAGGACTTGAGAGAGCAAAGGAGTCCTACGAGGTCTGACTTGAGTAAGAGAACTCAAATCAGTCTCCAGGAGAGTGCACACCCTGGAAAGTCCCCATTCATGTGGTTTAGAACAGTTAAATTGCTTAGTCACATCCAAATCAGAACCAATCAAAATAAATGTCTGGTTAAATGGTCACTCAGTTCTAATGGAGATCGATACCAGCACAGTTGTATCAGTGATTACAGAGCCAATCTTCAAAAAGATTCATTCTTGATTCCAACCCTTAAGTTTGCGCAAGACCTTGGCCAGACAGAATGTACACCAAGGAACTATTCCAGATTAAGGGTCTGACTTCGGTTCTGGTCTCCTATGAGATGCAGTTACCGCTACTTGTAGTAAAAGGCTCGGACCCTAGTTTGATGGGGCAAATTGGTTGAGAAAGATTCACCTTGATTGACTTAACATTTTTCAATTAGAAAAAGGTTGCCTGAGTGAAGTCTTAGATGAAATCAGATAGGTTTAGGGACTATCAAAGGAGCCAAGGCCACCTTGCATGTTGACCAGGAAGCAATTCCACGATTTTGCAAGGCCTGCCCAGTGCCATTTGCCTTTCATTCAAAAGTAGAGACAGAAATCAGGAAGCTGGAAAGCGAAGGAATCATGAAACTGGTACAGTTTGTGGAACGGACAGCACCGGTCATACTGATTGTGAAGCCTGACAGGAGGGTTCACCTTTGTGAAGATTTTAAGCAAATGGTAAACCGCTTTTCACTGCTGGATAAATACCCAATCCCTCACATAGAGGACTTGTACACAAAACCGGCAAGGGGGTCTGTTCTTTCCAAAGCTAGAGATGAGCCATACAGCATGTTTGGACAGCTCCATACCGTCCAACGTCCAATGGTCTGGCGGAAGGAGCAGTCGAAATGTTGAAGGCAGGCTTAAAGGAGCAGCCCACAGCTTCACTTGATACTAAACTATCCTGGTTCCTGTTTGACTATAGGGCCATCATTCATGGAACTACAGGGGTAGCTCCAGCAGAGTTGCTGATGGGGAAAAGACTCCAGACCAGGTTAAATCTGCTATTCGTAGGCCTGTGGGAGGAGGGTGAAATGGCATCAGGAACATCAATGCCAGCCACATGCCTGTTCTGAGTGAGAGACACAGTTTACTTTGGGGTACGAAGTTTCGTGGTGAAACCACGGAAATGACCCTGAATGGGTATGAGATGATGTCAGTTCACGTGACATAGAAAGGTAGTTGAGGCAGTCCTGAACAAACATATGGATCACCAAAATCTGCTACCTTGCAAACGGGGCAGGAGCAAAACGTACCCAGCCCCTCAGAGCAGCTGGCAAAGCTGTCAGAAACTGAGTTCTGCCCCTCTGTCTTACATTGAAGAAACCTCAGAGTCCAAGATGGATGCAGCTGATGTCTCAGTCTCAATACAGTTACTGCCTGAAAACAAGGAGCAATTTCTTCCGAGATACTCTGGGTGCAAGAGCTATGGTCCGGTACACGCTGTCAAAGCCTGAGTCAGAATCGGAGAAACCAGGCCTGGTGTGAAACTACCGCAGGAGAGGCTACAAGAAAAAGAACAGGTCTACATCCCCGGACTTAGGTGGAGGAGGGATATAGTGATTGGAATAATGGCCAGGACCTCAGAGTATGCGATTCCTGATTGGGGCCATTAACCTGGGCCAATCAGGGAGCCCTGGCTGACAGTTATAAACAGAAGTCTCAGACAGTCTCCTGATTCTAGGGACCGACTCTGAACGAGCTGGTCAAAGTCCCTGTACGGTGCATGTGTAAATAAAGGGTGATGGGATACCGGCCTCCATGGAGTTATTTCACATCTCAAGTCCAGTTGGACTCTTCAGCTGTTTCATCGATGATCTTCCATTCATCATAAGATTGGAGGAGACATTGACTGATGATTGCACAATAGTCAGTATTGTCTGTACTCCTCAGATACTCAAGCAGCCCGTATCCAAATGTAGCAAGATCTGGACAACATTATTGGCAGCCCACCTAACAGCTTCTCCATTCACTGCCTCCACCATCAATGTACCATGGTAGCAGTGTGTAAAAGTCATACTGCAGTAACTTACCCAAGCTGGTTTGACAACACCTTCTTCTAAACCCACAACCTCCATCACCTTTTTTTTATTTTTTTAGAATAACAAGGGCAGGAGAAACATGGGAACACCACCATCTGCAAGTTCCCCTCCAAGTCACACACCATCCAGACTTGGAATTAAATCATAAACGCTGGCTTCTCCACTAATACTGTCAGGGATAAGAAGTTTTGTATCATCAAATTCCGGCTACCTCTCCCCACCCCTGAGTCCTGGAAATTCTGACTGAAATTATTTCCTCAGAACTTCCAGCAAAATCCTCTTTAAGAACTGACTCCTGCTTTGTTACTTAAAAATGAATTAAAAGTGCCTTTCATGCCTGCATGCTCTTGTACCTCCCAGAGGTGGCCCATGCAGCATATGTAGCCATTATTGATAGCAATAAAAGTACTTTAAGTGGCACAATTTTGCCATCTTAGGGAGACTAACAGTATTGCAGCTGTTTGGGAATTCCACAGATCAAAAACTGCTCACCCTCAAGTTTCTGTATTGGGTGCATTTGGGAAATTGCACTGTTTTTGAATAAAGTTCACATTTCTGCCCAAACTTGTATAATGGAACGTTGTAAACAGGCTTTGTTATTATATGGTAACACAGTGTGGAGCTGGAGAAACATTGCAGGCCAGGCAGCATCAGAGGAGCAAGAAAGTTGACATTTCGGGTCGGGACCCTTCTTCAGAAATGGGGAAGGGAGCTCAGAAATAAATAGTGTGGAGGGGTGGGGCTGGGGAAGGGAGGTGGGATGGTAATAGGTGAGTGCAGGTAGGGAGTGGTGGGGATTGGTCAGTGAGGTGGGAGGGGCGGATAGGTGGGTGAGAAGATGGACAGGTTTGGTCAGGTCAAGGAGGCGGGGATGAGAGGGAGGGTTGGTCATGGGCTGAGGCCGGGGGTGGGGAGATTTGGAAACTGGTAAAATCCACATTTAGGCCATCGGGCTGTAAGCTCTCGAGGCGGAATATGAGGTGCTGCTCCTCCAGTTTCTGGGTGGCGTCATTGTGACACTGGAGGATGCCCAAGATGGACATGTTGCCCAGGGAGGGGGAGTTGAAATGTTTAGCGACTGGAAGGTATTGTCATTTGTCACAAGCAGAGCGCAGGTGCTCTAGCAAATGGTCTCTGAGCCTCTGCTTGGTCTCACCGATGTAGAGGCCACATCGGGAGCAGCCAATGCAGTAGACCACGCTGACAGATGTGCAGGTTAACCCCCTGTCCAATGTGGAAAGTTTACTTGGTGCCTTGAATGGAGGTGTAGGGGCAGGTGGAGCACTTCCTGCGGTTGCAGGGAAAGGTGCCGGGGATGGTGGGGTTAGTGGGGATTGTGGAGCGGGCAAGGGAGCATGGAGAGAGTGGTCCCTATGAAAGGCAGATAGGGGTGGAGAGGGAAATATATCTTTGGTTGTGGGGTCGGATTGCAGGTGGCGGAAGTGGCAGAGAATGATACATTGGATACAGAGGTTGGTGGGGTGATATGTGAGGACAAGGGGGATTCTGTCTTTATTTTTGTTGGAGCCAAACAAGGGACTTTAAGAAGAGGAGAGCTGATTCACTCCACCCTGTAATATATGCATAAGGCCAATGTTTATGCATTCTTGTGGCATGTTACAGATCACAGTCCTAAATATCTGAGCAGAGATGCTCCAACTAAAAACACTAAATACACTATTAAGGCTAAAACAGAGTCCTTGAAATAATGAATTTTTGAATGCAGTCGAGGAACATAGAAGTAAAGATATAAATCTTCTGAATAGAAATATTAAAATTAAGGGAAGCACATCTAGAAAGCACCAATGAAAAAAGGTACAAGCAAAAAAAAGAAACAGTATGCAAAATATAAAGAGCAAATAGCAAACATAGAAGCAAGCGTCAGTCCTTTGTACATCAAGATTCACATGCTCCAAATCAGCTCAGATCTGAAAAGTTGGTGGAAATATGTAAGAAACTATCGGCATATCTTTCCATTAGAGAGGGACTCTTGGTTTTGTATAATTGGAGGGTAACCATTTCACAGGGTAAGGGGAAAGGGGATCTCACATCAACTACCAAACTCCATGTAGAGACTGAACCTGATAAAAATAAATAAAATGGGAACATAAAACTACTGGTGTACATGGCGTTTTCTGAAAAGATAACTGACTGGTCGACTTTATTGCAACTAAATACACTGAATGTATTTGATTATATCAGAGATTGTAGGAACTGCCGATGCTGGAGTCTGAGATAACAAGGTGTAGAGCTCGATTAGCACAGCAGGCCAGGCAGCATCAGAGGAGCAGGAAAGCTGACGTTTCGGGTCTGGACCCTCCTTCAGAAAATTGTATGTCGTCCTTAGAAGAATATTTTCCGGAACCATCTCATTGACATGGACTTGTGCAGAATTGAAGATTGAGGAACTTCTAGTATACGCCTCATTTTTGTTCGAACTCCTCGGAGATCCAAAATTCCGGGAAAGGTGAGAGGTGCTTTCTCAAGTATTCCAGAAATTAACTTTTTATATATGAAAAAGAATTGAGCTGTGCAGCAGAGGTCGCTACTGGCAAAATGTTTGAAAAGCGTTCCATTCAGATTATTGTTACTCTTTGTTAGTTTAATTGAGAATAATTCGATCCTCAATGATTACACAACCCGAGTATTTTATTAAGCTATTTTCTCAGAAAAATAACTAAAGAAGACCAGACGTTTGGAAACGGATTATGTGATGGTGACCAGATTGCGATCCAAAATATCAACATACTTACATAACTTGTTGTTTTAAAATGCTTAACTTTTGTTCGTTGAATTGAGTTGCAATTACACGTCGTTAGAACAATACGATTAGGTATGTTATCAAAACAACTCTCAGTTAGCCTGAATTAGAATTAAATAAGCATTCAACTACCTCCGAGACAGTACTGTTTCTTTTCACTTGAAACTGACCTCTGTCTGATCAGCGGAACGCACTTACTCTTACAGATATTTAAATGATTGCTCCTTTCAATACACTGACAATTATCAGATTGAGAATGTGAACGCCCGAGAAATATGTCAGCAACTACTACAGTCTTCGCTAATGCCTACGCTATGAAACGCAGTCTTCTTTGCAGTATAGTGTATAACGCCTCTATATTTCACCGTTTCCCGCGATCAAACGGGATATATTTGAAATGTTGCAGGATACAGCAGTCTGGCTCATATAAAAACAAAACGACTGCCGCATCTGCATCGTTCTAATACACAATGTTACAAACCGGAAGCAGCACATCTGTATCATGCAAACGAGGATCGCTGATGAGAACATGTTTTCAAACCAGCGTTTATTCTTGCAGTTGATTACTGAAAGTAACGCCAGTTTGGACGGCCTCCTCCCACAGCTGCAGCAATGTCTGGATTGAATATTACAGGAGTTGAGGTGATCCCTGCTCTGTAGAAACATCTCGACCGAATCCTGCAACAACAGCTGGACTGAGCACAGCAGCTGTAGTAAAAATTAATACTACAGCTGTAGTATCACCTGGAATAAATCCTCCAGCAACATCTGGACTGAGCACTGCAGCTGTAGTAAAAATTAATACTACAGATGTAGTATCAGCTGGAATAAATCCTGCAGCAACAGCTCGACAGTGCAGTGCTACTATAGTAACAGATGGATTGAACCCTGGAGCTGTAGTAACAGATGAATTGAACCCTGGAGCTGTAGTAACAGATGAACTGAAGCCTGCAGGTGTAGTATCAGATGAATTGAACTTTGCAACTGTAGAAACAGGTGAATTGAACCCTGCAGCTTATAGTAACAGATGAATTGAACCTTGAGCTGTAGTAACAGATGAATTGAAGCCTGCAGCAACAGCTGGATCCTGCAGCAAGGCGGTGATGACGTCAGGTCGGCTGCTTTAAAAAATGGTGGTTGATGTGGAGTCAGGAAATAGGAGATTTCGAGACGGCTCGGGTTGTGGCAGACAGCAGCAGCAGCAGCAGCAGCAGCAGCAGCAGGTAAAGTTGCCCAGTGAGAAGCTGCAGCATGTCCCGAGACTGTGCAGTGGGCTTGGTGCTGAGTGAGCAAGAGGAGAAGCGCTTCTCCGACCTTTTCTCATTCACTCTGCCAGACGCCGACACAACAGGCAGAGTTGCAGCCGGAGCTAAAGTTGGCGAGTTATTCCAAGCCTCCCAGCTCTCTCCAGACACTTTGCACCAGGTAAGTAGAGGAGCTTTTAAAATCAGTTCAACAATGTGTTCAGTTGTTTGCTGAGTGATTGCACGCAGTGTGTTCCTGTGGACGTCTGCAGCTGTTGTAAGGCTAGAACTTTTAAACTGTGTCTTTCTATGTTTTCCGACGCACGTCTTTACTGTGAGTGGGTGTTTTTTTTCAGTTTTCAAGTTGCTACGAGTTGCTCTCTCGTTTACGGCTGAGTTGGCTGAAACAAAAATGCCTCCCGTGTTTCAGTAATTGTAAAATGGGTCCGTTTTATTTAATCGTTGTATTCATACAATCCTGTGGGCTAAATGCGAATTCTGTCACTATGATACATTGCAGTAACGACAATCGCCACAGACCTGGATCAATTCAGTTCGCGTATTTATGAAGGAACGTCCTCTTCCAACATATTTCTGCAGTCCCTGCTATCTCTATTCCATATTTCTGATTTTTTTAAAACAGAAGTTCTAAACCTTGTACAGCCCGGTAATTGAGGTGCTGGCTTGTGTTAAAGTCGAATGCACATTGCTGAAACTATAAGCATTTTTCTGTTTATTCCCAGATCTGAGCATTGCTGACACTTGCCCATTCATAGTAGCATTTGTGAAAGTGATGGTGCTCCATCACCTTTGATACTCCACTGGGAATGTGAGGTGGAGAGTTTCGGACGATTTCACCCCGCCACATGGAGAAACCATGACATCAATTCAATTAGGAGCAATGTTCTTCTAGCTTGTGGTTGCAGTGTATGGCTAGCTTATTGCACTGCACGGTGTCCTTGAGATTGATGCACGTTCACGTGCATGTCCATCTTAAAGCCAGCAATTCTTGGGCCCAGCTTGTTTTGATCCCTGTGTAGCCCATTCCCAATTACTAAACGGAAAGTACTGCAAATGCTGAAACCTAAAATAAAAGCAGTGCTGGGAAAGCTCGACAGGTTTGACAGCATCTGGTGACAAAGAAAATTAACGTATTGAATCTTACTTGAATCATCAGAAGATAAACTCCAGGACTGAAGAACAGCTATTTTGGACTTTAAGTGTTGTCTTTATTTTTCTGTCTGCAGATGTTGCCATACCTGCTCTTATTTCCCCCAGAACTTTGTTTTTACTCTGGTCCCAATTGCTGTGTGGCACTAGCTTGGAGGGAGTATTGATCAGGTCCTTCCAGATGGTAGGGGATGTTCCTTAAGGAAGTGCTGGTAAAGAAACTTGTTGCAAATCAATAGTCTTGCATATAGTAGCTGCTTTGGACACTACAGCTGTAACTAAGATACTTATTACCAGTCAGTTTGGTTTTGGGCCAGTGCTGACCTCCACATGTGGCCAGTGAGTCAATGATGATAATCCAATTGTCTGTCACTTGGAGATGATTTTGTCCATCCCTTGTTCAAGCTAGTTATTGCTTGACACTTCTGTAGCACAAATTCTTGTTGCATGAAGGTGTGGACTGTTTCACTGATTCAGAAATTGGAAGTGGAACTGAACACCAATGTGATCATCTGTGAACATTCCAATTTATGGAGGGATGCTCATTGATGAAGCAGCATAGAGGAGATCAGCTGATCTTAATGGATCAATTTTCTATTATGTGGTAGCTTTCTAATAGTTTGCTAAAGGGCTGGATCTGTTTGGCTAGTGTTGTTGGAGCAAGAGTTCTGAACCAGAATAAGGAATTTGAGTCAAAATCTTCATGTCCATAGCCCTTTACCAGTTCTTGGTGTCAGGTTGGGTTTTTTTTGTTATTGATTCATGGATGTAGATGTTGACTGGCCCAGCATTTATCACCCATTCCTAGTTGTCCTTGAGAAGAAGGTGGTGAGTTCCCTCCTTGAATTGATGCAGTTAGACTCTCAAAACTGTTGGGGGAAGGAGTTTGAAGACTTTTGACCCAGCAACAGTGAACAGGAACAGCAATATATTTTCAAGTCTGGATCTTGAAGGGGAACTTGCATGTGGTAAAGTCTCCATTGTACCTACTGCCATTGTCCTTCTAGATGGTAGCCTTTCTGGTTTTAGAAGGTGCTGTCCAAGGAATCCTGGTAAATTTCTGTAGCGCATGTTGTAGATAATACACACTATTGCTTCAGAGGATCAGTAATGAAGGGGGTGGATGTTTATTTGTCAATATGTTGCCAATCAAACAGACCGCTTTGTCCTGGATGGTACCATGCTTCTTGAGTGTTGTTTGGAGCTGCAATCTATCACGTGCCTGACTTCGGCTTTGTAGATGGACACGTTTTGGGAAATGAGGAGAGTTATTCACTGTAGGATTCCTAGCTTCTGACTTGCTCTTGCAACTACAACATTTTGTATAGAATTCCTACAGTGTGGAAGCAAGTCATTCATCCCATTGGGTCCACACCGAACCTCCTGAAGAGCATCCCACCCAGACCTAACCCCACCCATCCTATCTCTAACCTGCATTTCCCATGGCTAAACCACCTAGCCTGCATATCTCTGGACACTATATGGGAAATTCAGTATAGCCAATCCACCTAACCTGCACAGCTTTGGACTGCGAGAGGAAACTGGAACACCCAGAGGACACCCACACAGACACAGGAGAATGTGCAAACTCCAAACAGAAAGACAGTCACCCGAGGATGCAATTGAACCTGGGTTCCTGGTGCTGTGAGGCAGCAGTGCTAGACACTAAACCACCATGCCACCCACAATAGCTAGTTTGGCCAGTGTAATTCAGTTTCTGGCCAATGGTAACCCCCCAGGATGTTGATAATAGGTAATTCAAAATTGTGATGCAGGTCATTGAATGTCAAGGGGCAATAGGTAGATTCTGTCATTGGAGATGGTTATTGCTTGACCCTTTTGTGCCATGAATGGTGTCATCCTAACCTGGATATTGTCAAGATTTTGCTGCAATTGGATGTAGACCTTTTCAGTATCTGAGGAGTTATGAACGGTACTGAACATTGTGCAATCATCAGTGAACATCCCCACTTTTGACCTTGTGGCCGAAATTAATCGGGGACACATCCCAAAATAATTGGGAAGCAATGGGTTAGTTGCTTGGTATGAACTACATTGTAATTAGCAAGCTGTTTTATGTATTAATATAATTTTGAAGCCATAATATTGTAAGACTCATTTAAATTGCATACATAAATAATTTTGCAAAGCCTTTTGATAGACAGTTAAATTGTTATAACAGAATGAGGTGGTTATGAATCCATGTTTTCCCAGTGACTAAATAGAATAGTCCAGACAACACACTTTAACTAAGTAGTTAAAGTGGAGGTTACTGTAACTTCTGCAACTTTTGGAAGATAATGTGCAGAATAGTTTAAATTCTGATCACTCATCCGCAGTATCAGACCAATGGCTGATAGTCATACTACATGGAAACAAACCCTTCAGTCCAACCAGTCCACGCCAACCATGTTCCCAAACTAAACTAGTCCCACCGCCTATGCTTGGCCCATATCTCTCCAAACCTTTGCTATTCTTGCACTTATCCAAACGTGTTTTAAACGTTGTAACTTTACCTGTATCCACCACTTTCTCTGTCAATTCATTCCACACACAAACCACTCTCTGTGGAAAGAGGAAAAAAAGTAGCCCCTCATCCTTTTTTAAACCTTTCTCCTCGCAACTTAAAAATATGCCCCCTAGGTTTTGAAATCCCCCCCCCCCCCCACCATCCTAAGGAAAAGACCATTGTCATTCACCTTATCTATGCCCCTCATGATTTTATAAACCTCAGTAAGGACACCCCTTAACTGCCTACATTCTAGTGAAAGAAGTCCCAGCCTTTTCAGTCTATTTTTAATATCTCCATTCCTCCATTCCCAGTGACATCCTACTAAATCTTTTCTGAGCCCTCTCCAGTTAATAATAATCTTGCTGTAACAGGGTGACCAGAGCTGGACTTAGTACTTCAGAAGCGGCCTCGCCAACGTCCTGTAAAGCCTCAACATAACATCCCAAATCCTACACTAAGGTTTGAGTAATGAAGGCCAGCATGCTAAGTGCTGCCTTAACCACCCTGTCTACCTGAGATGCAAATTTCAAAGAATTATGTACCTGCGTTAACTTGCTGAGAATGACTAGGTGTTTGGGGAATTTATTTTCATACCAGCCCTATAGTGTGTATAGTTTTCAAAACAAGAATTCCAAAGGAATTATCTAGTGTGAAAAGGTGCACTGTATTCATCCCTGATAGACAATGGGGGAGCTATTGTGTTACAGTGGGTCATGTCCCTGCCTCTGAGCCAGAAGCTACAGACTCCAATCCCATTCCAGAACTTGACAGGTACATTTGTAATGTAACCAAACAGGTTCGTTATCAAGCTGCAAGTCCTTCCAGTATACCATGGCAGGCAGGAACAGCAGAAGAGTTTCCTGCTAAGCCTTGCTTGATTCAGAGTGACATTCTTTCAACCTGCAGCATCAGCCAATAGGTGATCAACTTCTGCAAGCAGACACCAGCACATGCTTTGTCCATCTAAGACAGCACTAGGTGTGGGAAGCAAAAAGGTAGCAACAAGGCATTTCCTTGTTATACAAATCAAACTTAGTTAAGCTTAAAATGACCCCACAAAGCATATAAAAGAGAGGCGATCTGAATTTAATCTATGTTTTGGTATTTGACATGATGATTAATGAACACAAAATCAGAGGAAATAATGTTGCTCAACTGGAAAGACGGCTGGAAATAAGCAAAATGTTGCAACACTCGACAGGCCTGGCAGTCTGTTTTTGAGAGAAGAAGGTTGCGTTGTTTTGGGTCCATGAACCTGCTTTGGAGGGGATGCAGAGAAAGTTTACCAGGATGTTGCCTGGTCTAGTGGATTTTAGTTATGAGGCGAGGTTGGATGAACTCTGATTGTTTGCCCTGAAATGACCGAGGATGAGGAGGGCAACCTGATAGATGTCGGCAAACTTATGAGAGGTATAGATAGGGTGGATAGTCAGAGGCTTTTTCCTAGGGTGGAAAGGTCAACTACAAGAGGACACAGGTTCAAGGTGAAAGGGAGAAAG